ATTAGATTAAAATAAAGTTTTTTATTTAAAATAAATAAAAAATAAAAATAAAGTACTAGTTGATATAATAAAAACTAGGGTATCAAATAAAGTACTAGTTGATATAATAAAGTACGAGCCGAACTTTTGCTTATAGAGTTAGCCTCGGTTCGTTAAGGAGTTATCTAAACAAACCTTTTACTATCTATGCTACATCTTCATTATTTCTAAATATAATATATTTTTTTATACTTATTACCGAACCCATCGAGCTTAACGAGCTTGAGCTTTGGGCTCGGCTCATTGGGCTTGCGAACCCGAGCTTAACGAGCCGAGCTTTACTTGACACTCTAGTAAAGACTGTAAAAAACTGTAAAATATCTTTTAAAGCTGATATCTTTAATAAAGAATATGGTTTACAATCGAAAAAGATTACTTTGCAGGTTTGAGAGACAACTCTCCTAAAGCCTAATTTTTAGCTAGTGCATCAGAAATGATAGCTACATAAGAGAAGGTCGATATATTACAAAGTAATGTTGGCTTATTGATTTCAGAAATTATTAAAGTTTCTGAAGTCCAGAGTTCGAATTTTACTTTGTACATTTCCACTTAAATTTACTCGATGATATATATATTATGTGATTCTGGTATATCATTCGAAAGTTGACAGCTCTACATCTGTAGAAAGGTACCCTCCGTTATCAAAAAAAGAGGTCGATATAGTGGAAATCACAATATCAACCTCACTCTATTTTTCTATTTCTATTCAATTATATTTCAAAACATTCATTATCTTTAATTAAAACTTTTAATATTTACAAAAAAAAAAAAAAAAGTCGGGTTTGGGTCGGGTATTGTCCTACCCATGACCAGCTTGTGGTCACTAGTCACTAGTCAGACAGCACAAAGGCGATGTTATATTGAGGGGAGTGACGAGGATATTATTTGGGGATTTGGGATCTCAAATCCATCTGTTTCTTCCCGATTCCACTGAGAAGACGTTTACCGCCGCAGTCAGGCGCCGACGATCTTCGGCATTTGTTGAGGTTTTTTCTATTTCTACTATTTGATTCTTTTCATAGCATTTACTAAATATAATCCCCACGACGCCTGTGCGGTGCTCATTCCGCCGCTGGATCAGGTTTTATCTTTGATGTGTGTAAGAGAGAGTTTGAATTGAGATGTGTTAGAATTTAGAATCACTGTGCTTGGATTTGAATCGGACCTTCATCGATCGACATGGAAGAAGAAATTTGAGATATCATTTTCGGTAGATCTTTATTCTTTTGCCGCCTTTTTATTGCTCGCAGATGGGTGACATAGTGAAGGACTTGACGGCAGGGACCGTGGGAGGTGCGGCTCAATTGATTGTTGGTCATCCATTTGATACAATCAAAGTCAAGCTTCAGAGTATGCCCACACCACTTCCAGGTCAATTGCCCAAATACACAGGTGCCATGGATGCTGTAAAGCAAACAATTTCCGCCGAAGGATCGACAGGTTTGTTCAAAGGAATGGGTGCTCCTTTAGCCACTGTTGCAGCATTCAATGCTGTTCTGTTTACAGTGAGGGGGCAAATGGAGTTACTGCTTCGATCTGCACCTGGAGTTCCACTCTCAATCAGTCAGCAGTTTGTTGCAGGAGCCGGTGCTGGAGTTGCAGTTTCATTTCTAGCTTGTCCAACTGAGTTAATCAAGTGCAGATTGCAAGCTCAGAGTGCTATGGGAGGTTCTTCTACTATGGTAAAATACGGAGGACCTATGGACGTTGCAAAACATGTTATGAAATCCGAAGGTGGTATACGAGGTCTGTACAAAGGGCTAGTTCCAACGTTTGGACGTGAGATTCCTGGAAATGCTTTGATGTTTGGTGTGTACGAAGCCGTCAAGCAATTCCTGGCTGGTGGGAAGGACACTTCAAAGCTTGGTAGAGGTTCTCTTATCTTAGCTGGAGGTGTGGGAGGTGCGGCTTTCTGGGGTATAGTCTACCCAACTGATGTAGTGAAGAGTGTTCTCCAAGTGGATAACTTCCAGAATCCAAAGTATTCTGGTTCAATAAATGCATTCAGGAAGATTTTATCTTCAGAAGGTGTCAAGGGTTTGTACAAAGGATTTGGTCCGGCCATGGGACGTAGTGTTCCTGCTAATGCTGCTTGTTTTTTGGCATATGAAGTCACAAGGTCTAGCTTAGGATGATCTCTGCTGTTTCTCCTTCAATCTATTCCTTTGCCAAATTCATTCTTTTATGGTTGAATGATGGAAATAATTGATAGGTGAGCTTACATTCTTCATTGATAATTGATGTCCATCGACTTCAATTTATCTTATAATAATATCTAATCAAGAGAGAACTTATTGATCCAATGAGCCAACTTTTGTTGCTCTGTACATTGGAACACAGGGTCACAGGTGGGATGTGTGTTGTATCAAGATTCACACATTTCTTTGCAAATTGCAATTTAATCAACAAACCATGGTTGGTTGGAGACTGGGAGTGTTTCCAAATATTCAATTAAAAGAAAATAATGTAGATCTAGTCATCTAGATTCTTTTTTTTCTGCAGATTCTAGTCTGTATAAAAAGCATAGAAAAAGAAATGTTTTGCACAGTTTAGAAGACAAAATAAGTGCAATTAAAATTGATAATAAAGAGCAGAGTTTAAAATATTACTTAATATATTGTATTCTTGTCTTAACTTGAAAATTAAAAACAGCAACAACAAATTACACATTCATAGAAAACAACCAAATTGATTGATGGATTCAAGTCGACGAATTTTTTTTTCTTCTTCTTCTACTGTAACTGGACCTGCCACAAAAATCAAGAGCAGTAAAATACCAATATCAAATTAAAGGGAGTCATAATTTTGGATTAAGATGGGACTCACATTTATGTGTACAGACTATAAAATGCTAATTTAGAAATTAGAATACCAGTTAGACATATTTTTGGATTTCTGAAATCTGGATTGAATGTGTTTTAATACACCTTTATTTAGTTGGAATCAAGCTTCAACAGAAAATTCTAAAACACCCAAAACCAACAGCGGAAAAATCTAGTTCGGCCAATAGTTCAAAAGTAATATTCCTCATTTCATCTACGGTTAATTTGGATTTTAATATTTACCAGATAAACTCAAAATCATATGGCAAGATCTTCTACAATCTTAATGAGTTAGTGAGTGTGTGTGTATATATATACTTTAACTCTAATCTTGGTTAAAAACAGTTGAATCTTGAGGTTAAATGCATATTTTCACAAGTTTTTTAAAAATCCAAAACTGCCATTATCCATCCATCCTTTTATTAAATATCATTACATTAATCATCAATTCATTATCCAACAGGAAAACAAATCACAAATTAGTTGTTGGCTTAAAAAAAAATGAATTAATGTGTCCCCATTAATGCCCAATTAAGAGATATTTTATGATAGATAGAGACATTGAGGAGGTGTTCTCAATGGCCAATTTAGGAGATCATATTATAAGTTTTTAACATTGTCTCTTTTTTTTTGCAAATGGTAAACCCTAAACCCTCAACTTTTTGTAATCAACAAAAAGCTCTTTACTATTACTTGCTAACTCTGATTCACAGATTATGAATGAACTTAAAAAAGCATTCAAACCAAAATCTATAGGTTTACTTCAAAAAAAAAATCTATAGGTTAAGGTTTTCAAAATAAATTCTAAAACAAGCGAAGGAAAGTGAAGAAAAAACACACTAAAAGAGTGAATTGGTATACCACTATCCCAGTGACACTCCAACAGCAGAACTAGAAGTAGCACCTGCACCTCCATGTCCAAAACCTCCTTTCTCCACTTCTTCACCTGCACCAAAAGGTCCCAAACACAACTCTTGACTCTCCCATAACAAAAATAAACACACAAGAATTGTTGACAGAACCAAGATGACAATCAATACATTTCCAACTTTCCCCTCACCTTTCCAACGATCTCCGTCGACAGCAGATGCATCAGTCAAATCACGAAGACTGAGAACACGATCCGTATCATCTACACCCCCCTCCTCCCTCTCTTTCTTGTCCTGTCCCCAAACCCTACTAAAAAACTCGCTGGAGTCAATCGATCTCGGTGAAGCCTTCTTCATCTCCTTAACATTCAAACAAAGAGAGTTCGGCGACAGTGACAACGGAGATCCACCTTCCCCGGTGGCGATCTTACAAAAAGACACATCGCTGGAGTGAACTTTGTGGGGATCCTGAGCGACCTTCCCAATCTCCACCAATCCCTTCTCATCCGGCGAATCGGAGGGATCGGACAAGTTCCGAAACAGCAAATACGGTACCGCCGCTTTCATTTCCGCTTCAAATTTCGATCGGAATGAAGTAAGTAACCACCTGACTGCTTTAATTCAACTGATTTTGTACCTCACCGGAAATATCAAAGCTGATTAAATATAGAGAAAACTCCGATTTCGCCACGTGGATATGAAGAAACATGATCGAATCCTGATCGTCAGATGGTAGTTAGTGATAAGAACAGTGGCACAGATAAGTCGGTACCAATCTAACGTGGCGACTTTATCCAAACTGTACAGAAAAAGGCCTTATCTGACCTTTATTAGTTTCAAGGGATATGGGCCGGACGGATTACACTCAAAATTGGAGCCATGTTGTATTATTTGTTGGGCTCATTTCAACCCACAAAACCCTTACTATGTAAAATTGTAAATATAATTTCTTAGAAAAGAACCCCGTTAAATCTTAAATCATAAATCATTATAATTTCTTAAAAGAAAATTATGTATTTGTTTTATTTATTGGAAAAACATATTTACACGAAAATAAATAAATTATATCATATAATTGGGTTACTTATGGGGGTGAGGGACAGGGTGAGGATCGCGTTCCATGTATCCGTACTTAGGGTGTCAAGTAAAATTCGGCTCATTAAGTTCGGAATCGTGAGCCCAATGAGTCGAGCCCGAGCCTAAAGCTCAAGTTCGTTAAGCTCGATAAGAAGTATAAAAAAATAAAAAATATATTATATTTAGAGAAAATGGAGATGTAGTACAGATGGTAAAACGTTTGATTAGCATACGAAAGATCATGGGTTTGATCCCTCATGTCTTCAAATTATTTATTTTAACCTGCAGGTTAATTAGTTCGAGTCCGAGCTCGACCAAACCAGTCTCGACGAGCTCGAGCCTGGATAACTTCTTAACGAGCCGAGCCCGAGCCTAACTCTATAAGCAAAAGCTCGGTTCGGCTCGTTTGACACCCTATCCATACCTAGTCATTTTTATCAGGGATGAAAAAATACCCAGATATAAAAAGTTTTTATTGAAAAAACTAATGGTGTGAGATTAATAGTAAGAGTATCACGATGACCGGAGGGTCGACGAGAGGAGAGGAACCGTTGCACGTCTAGGGTTGGGAATGGAGATTTTTCTGAAATGATCGGAGATTACAGTTAGAGACGAAGATTTTATAATTTTGAATAAAAAAATCATCACCTGACCGACCAAAGACGGAGTCGGGGAATGTCACCCCTATGGGCTATGGTTCTATTATATATAAAATCAGGTCAGACCCTCGCCGCCGTCCTCTACTTCTTGGGATTTTTCTCACCGCCGTTCATCTTTCGTCTTCTTCACTTTCACGCAGGAGTCATCTTCACGCTATTTCTTGCAAACACGAACAGAGAGCGAGCAAATGAGAGATGTTTCTGACAGCGAACACGCGAAGTGAAGGAGTCTGACCGAGAGAGAGGGAAATCTGTCCGCGAGCGAACAAATCTGGTGGGTCTTCCGCGTGCGACGTTTTGGGTTCTCCGCGTATTAGCGTTTTGGGTTCTCCGCGTGCCAGCGTTTTTGGGTTCTCCGCGTGCGGTTCGTCTGACAGAGGAGCAAGCATCGTCTTGCTCTGAGCGAAGCAAGCGTGATGGGTTCTCTAAGAGCGCCTTGGGTTTCTGCGAGCGAGCGCCTGAGCGGCCGTGGTTCCACATCTTTGACTGCGAGTGACAGATCGACCTCTTTCCGCGAACACCAGATTCCTCGTAAAGCTAGCAGAACATGGGAGAAAGTCTCGCTATTGGTTACTGACCTACAAGCCGAGGATTAACATGTCATATTCATTTCATACATCTTATCTACTTTTAGTTGCTTATTTAATCGTTTTTTTATCATAACTTATAATTTTTTTATCTTATTTTATCTAAATCGCCTTTAAAAAAAACTCAGGTCAGACCTTCAAAAAATTGCCTTTAAAAAAAAGAAGGATGAGAGTCAAAATTTTCCAAACTATTTTTAGATTTTAGTAGCTGATCCATAAATATTTAATGTGACCTTTGAGGCTCTGACTGGCGGGCGTATGGTGAATATTATTTAAATACAACTTCAATATTTTATATTATAAGATGTTAGTCGAAACATTGTTTTCAAAGATATTTAATGTTGGTCCAACATTTAAAGCTCTTTAAATGTAGTCGGAACGAAATCATAATTTATTTATATGTTGTTGGTCCAACATTTAAACCAACGTGTTCAAATTTTACACCGCGCAAAATTTCTTTTTATAAAAACGTGAAAATTATTTACAAAACGAATATTCAGAATAACTTATATGTCTTAAAGTTGATTTTGTCTATTAAATTGGCTTTGAGTCGTATATGTGTCGGTGTTTTGTGCAATATATTTATTTACATTATACATGTGTTAATATCTTATACAAGACATTATTTTTACCATCAGATCGCAACACATTCAAAGTTTAACGCAACTGAATTTAAAATACCAAACGGTTAAGAAGCAAAGATCAATTTTTATATTTTGAATTGGTTAAATATTAATAGGAAAGAAAAATGAAAACATATGAAATTAAATTTGATATTGAGTTAATGATTTGCCAACATTACTGCAATTCATTATTTTAAACAAGGAAAAGATTTTTGATATCAAATCCCAACCGTTCATACTTCAAAGACAGACCATCCAACCATCACAATTCCCAATCTCGAGGTAGTCCCAATCAATGGTTGAGATTTAATATATTTAAACAATAGGATATTTTATTGACTCTTTTTTTTTCAAACCAAACAGTGTCAATTGACTGGTTCTTCTGGACTTTGATTTCTAGCTTAACTACAAACCACCATCTTCCACCCATAATTCCTTCCATCACTATCACCATCACCATCGTCACCGGTGTCTGTCTCTATAAATACCGACGACCCTCCAAAGTAATTCTCAAAAACCATGTCGCAGCAAAAAACTGTCTGCGTTGCCGATTGCTCGGGAAACACTGGCAAGACCTTGGTCCGCCGACTTCTCCGCCGCGGATACAATGTCCACGCCGCAACCCAAGCTTCGGGAGATTTCAATGTCAATGTCGTCCGAGGTTTGACCTTTGAAGAGTCCAAACGACTCAAGATGTGCAGATATGATCCGTTTGACTACCGGAGCATCGTCGACGCCGTCAGAGACTGTTACGGCTTGTTCTACTGCTTCGAACCATCTCAGGACCAAGAAGATGTTTATGATGTAAGAAGCTTCAAATCTCTCTCATTTTCTTCGACTGTTGAGCTGATTTTTTTTTTTTTTAAATTACAGGAGTACACTGTGGAGATGGAAGTCAGAGCAGCTCATAATGTGCTGGAAGCATGTGCTCAGACGGTCACTATAGATAAAGTTGTCTTCACTTCCTCTGCCACTGCCGTCATCTGGAAGGAGAATCGGAAGTCGGTGAGTGTCGATGAGAGTAACTGGAGTGACGTTAACTTCTGTCGGAAGTTTAAGCTGTGGCATGCATTGGGGAAGACTCTGGCGGAGAAGACTGCATGGGCACTGGCGATGGACCGAGATTTGGAGATGGTGTCGATAAACTCCGGTCTGGTTACAACGGTAAACTCCGACGTGAGGGTTACCAATCCTTACCTGAAAGGAGCGGCGGAGATGTACGAAGATGGAGTCTTCGTCACCGTTGATTCTGAATTCCTTGCTGATGCTCATGTCTGTGTTTACGAAGACACCTCTTCTTTCGGAAGGTATCTATGCTTCGATAATCTCATTTCCCTCCCGGAGGAAGCTGATAAATTTGCAAAGATGCTTACACCACCTCAGTCTGAGTCATCTCCGGCGTCATCTCTATGTGCTGGAGCAATCATGCCCAGGATCCATAACAGGAAGATCAGCAAGTTGATGGTGAATTTCCACACAACAGACATTTAGAGGAAGAAAACATGTAAAATTAGTGAATCGTAGTCATTTATAAAAAAAATATAATCATCCAGCCGACCATAGTGGAGTTTGAATGATCAGGTTATCAGAAATCACCAAATTTATTTATCAAACCACCGAACTTGCTCAGAATTGGACTCTTCTTCCGCTTTACTTTCGTCAGAATAGTTTTCGGCAATTCGCTGTCAACGAATTCCACTGTTGCTTCTTCTTCTTGCACACGGGATTTATTTACAACCGGAGGAGATACTCTGTTCTCATTACTCTCCCGTTTGTTGCCTTTTTTTGCCAATGCTGCCTTTTGGGATGCATCTTCAAGCAAGTTTTTCAACGTTTTAAGTCTGTCAACTGTGATTTCTTCTCTGGATCGTAGGCTGTCGTTCTCTCTAGAGATGCTCTGTAACTCTCTATCTTTGTCAAGAACAGCCTGCTTAAGTACCTCCCTTCTGGTCTTTGCTCTGCTGATGGCTTCAATTGAACCCACCGCCGCTGATTTTACCTGCTCTAATCTAAAAAGCAACTCAGCCTTGTCCTTTTCCGACACCATGGCTTCCGCCCTGGAAACCTCAAGCATGTCAAGAGATTCATTTAGTTTACCATTAGCCTTTTCCCCTTCTTTCTTAGACATGCTCAGAGAGTTCAAGAGACTCTGCTCCTTTTGATCCTGCTCAGATTTCCACCTCTCAATCTCTGATTTTGCTATATAGGCCTCGGATTTCTGGCCGGCGACGTGATAATGGATATCACTGAGCATCCCCATGTATTGTTCTTCGATCGACTTCAATTTTAGGATCGATCGTTCGATCTCAACTCCAGCATCATCCGCTTCAGCCTGTTTCGATGTCAGTGCTTCACTTGATTCTCTGGCGCAGGCGGATGTTTCTTGGAGAGATGAAACCAATCTGTCTAGGGATTTCTTGATGGTTCTACTCTCATCTCTGGAATTCTCCAACTCGGTTTGAATTCTCTTTTTCTCCTCCGCCATTATTCGAACATCCTCCGCCGCAAGCTTCTCGCTGTTCAATGCCTGGACCTTGCTTTTCGTTAATGCTTCGATTTTGCCTTTCAGAAATTCAACCGTCTCCCTCAGTTCGGATACTTCACGATAGGTGTTTTGAAGACGGTGTTCTGTTTCGTCGAGCTTGTTCTGATGTCCGGTGAGGTGTGATTCTAGTGACTCTGTCTTCTCTTCAAGCCGGTGGATTTCAAGTGAAACTTCTACAAGCTGGTTACTGCTGATCTGCAATTGTCGTACAGTAGAAACAAGATGTTCCGACGATGAAGCTTCTTGGATCTTCGATTCTTCGATCTTTGCCTGAAGGAACTCAACTTTCTCCCTCAAACGATCCACCTGAAACATCAATGCCAAATCCACATTCCGTGAATCGTGAAGCTCCGATCTAAGCAGATACGCCATGATCTCCGATTGACTCAACCTCACCAAAACCTCATCCGTGAAATTAGAAGGTAGATTCTTCAACCGCTCAATTTCGTTATGGAGAAAAATAACTCTATCGGTATTCATCTCGGCGATCTCCATCGCATCATTAAAATCCCTAAACGCAAGGTTCTTCGTTTTGGTAGCCATCAGAACCTTCTTCTGCAGCCTTTGAAGCTCATCGATCGTGGAGAGCAAAGCAGAGACGTCGATCGCGTGGTCGTTACGAACGGTTTCTAACATTTTCTCCCATTCATCTTCTTGTCGTCGTGAGGCTTCGATCCTGGCTTTCTCAAGTTCAACAACCCGGAATCTTTCGTTCTCGATGTCTTTCTCCGATTTCCCCAAAGCAACAAGAACCTCGGAAATCTTGGATGTTGTTTCATCGGTGAGCCTGTTTGTGTCGGAAAGCTCGTCGAGAACTCGAGATTTCGCCGATTCGACGGAAACCAACTGTAA